AAAACTTTTTTTTTTTGTGGTTTTTGTTTTTTCCCCCTTTATAAAAAAAAAAAAAAAAAAAAAAATATATATATATATATATATATATATGCACATAATAAATATAAAAAAAATCTGAATCATAGCCAGGGACATAAAGCTGTTAGGGAGGGGGAAAAATATTAGCACAGAAAAGTGCATATACTAGCAGTTCATTCAGACTGAAATATTGGGTTATTCATTTCCCCTTTTCCATCGTCTGGTGAAATATAAACTTATCGTCACTAAAGTAACAGAGGATATCTGAAGTAGGAGCCCTGAGTCATTAATTTTGGAACTATGCGGTCATGAAAAGAAAATAAATGAAGCGTCTCACATAATGACGCAGCCATATTAAACATTAACCAGCAGACGCACCAACTATTAACCAGATATTACAGGAACTCCTATACAGTCATTACGATTGTAGAGAAAAAGCATAAAAGTATATTTGACACAAATTTATTGTGCAATGAAAAACACTGACGCAGAGCACAGCAGAGGTATTCAACGCCTGTGAAAATGTTCTCCTGTTACATCTATGATCTTCAATGTATTTTATTGGAGTTTATGTGATAAACAGAGGCAAAGTAATGCATCGTTTTAAATTGGAAGGGAAGGGAGACATGGTTTCAGTTTTTCACAAATAAAAACTAACTAGCTAGACCAGTGGTGGCAGGCTCTGCTTTCAGGAAGAAGCTGTAGGGGATTAGAGGGTGTGAGCAGCGCACACACGTGCATGATTGACAGCGCTAAGACCCTTTTCCTGGCTCTGACTGATTGTTTCTGATCGAGCAGTGTAGTTAGCAGAGGCAAAGGAGGTCAATTTTTAAAAATTTTTTACAGATCATCTGTCTCATATTAAACTGCAACAACAAGGTGACAGTTTTAACAAATATGTAAAAAAAAAAAAAAACTTTTTCTTAACTACATACTGCAGCTGTAAGTTGCATACCTGGTTGCAATGCAAGCCTTTTCTCACCTACATATACCAGGAACTCCCTAATAGAAATGCTCAACACACTTTTCAGACTTTGAAGTTACGGTTTTGAAAAACTGTCTCGAATGTCCCTACTAATGAACTACTTTGGCCCATTAGAAAATCGCAAACACAGTAATATCTTGTAACAGGAGGGCTGAACAAAGGCACGCAGAAAAAAGGCCTCACTTCAAATAAAAACAGAAGAGTGGCGCAGACGTTTTTACCTCCATCGGATTGCCTTCATCGTCATGCACGCTGAGGATGACCTCCACGTTTTTCGGGGTCTTCTTTTTGCCTCGGTCAAACTCTCCCTGAAGCAAGGTTACGTAGATATCATTCCTAACGTTTCCTGGAGAAGGAACAAGAGGAGATCATTAGGTAGACGGGCCAGGCATTCGCAGCACGCCCACACACCTCTCTGATCAGAGCGAGCTTTAGAGCAATGCCCAGCAACAAAGGCTTTAAATCCCACCTGGGAGGATGATCTCTGGGAAGCCCATTTTCCTGACGATGGCCGTGCTGCGGTCCACTAAGTGGGGGAAGTCTTTCCTGACTTGAGCGAGGTCTCCCGGGAGGAGCTTCAGGGTCACAAACAGCCCTGGCAGACGGCATGTAAGGAAATTCAATGAGGCAGACACCAAAAGGGTACGATTCGCAGATCCCTCACACTGATTTCAACTTTACTCCAAAACAAAAGGGTTCATTTAGAGTGACCCTCGAGAAAGAAAGAAAGGGGAAAAAAAAAAGAAAAAAACCACAGGGGAGAGCCCTCGTCTGTGATCGCTCCGCCTCACCCTGGCCTTTATGATTGACCTCCCGCGTGGCGATGACTTTGTTGAAGACAGCCGTGAGCGGCTCATTCTCCCCTATGACTCTGGATGGAATGAGCGGAGACATGATGATCTGCCTCTGGCGGATGTACGTCTCCATGGCTATCCTGGGGGAGGCATTTCGAAATGAGGAAAACAACTAAATCAGCCGCCGCCGACTCCGACAGGTGACAAAGAAATGGACGGCAGAGAGTCGCAGAAGACGAGAGGCTCTCCCTTCCCGCTGACAAGGTGTGCCGTTATGCTTCCAAACATGCAGTTTACCGCGGCTGAATGCAAGAGAGAATTGCTAAACACCTCAGAGCCGCTGAAGAGATGTGAAGCTGCTTATGACTAAAATAAACAATTTGGAAACGGCTGCATCTCATTAAAAATCATTCAGTTGCATTTGTGATAATTAGAAAAGCTGCAAAAATTCATTCATCTGGATTAAATGCCAAGTCTGAACACAAACATTTAAATGTATAATCCACACCATCCAATCTTACGTATCCATTTGGATTTAACCATCTGTCAAATTAGCGAAGTACTTTGGTGAACTTTGAGTGAGGACCTTAGTTCAGGATTTCTGAAGTGAGGTCAATGTTTCTAAACAATACCTTCTTTGCAAAAGATCATTCTGTTGACATTCTTTCATTTGTGTTAATTCAGATTAATCATCTGAAGCTAACGACTAATCCACGCTTCCTAAATCAATTCCAGTCATAAAAACCTCCCAGGGGCTTTTTCCCACGCTGTTTTTTGATTTTTTTTTTTTTTTTTTTTTTTGTCACGTTCGCAGTGACCAGGTATTTACAATATAGAAATGGAACAACAAGAAGTTGAGTTTGGTGTCGGTGTCCCACCAAAAAACTTCCTGAGACAAGCATGCACTGACAACACATAATGCATCAATGTATTGCATTCAGTAGATAAACTGGAAGATTGGAAGCAAAGGCTGTCTAAAGGGGGAAAAAATAGCATTTGCATAAGGTTGCTATAATATTTATGCTTTTTAAAATGTCTTATGTTTCTAACGTGCAGTTAAATTGTTCCATTCTCCATCCATTCTTCACTCATGAAGATCGTTGGTAGCGTAACACTTCCGGTCTTCATTTCACTTCCCTTTGTTTTTGGCACTTTTCTTCCTACGGCACAAACATATATGCTCTATGAAGACTAAGAGAGATATTAATAATGACGAGTTATTAATTATGGCTGCTGTTAATCTAATTTCCCTACCTAAAATCATCAGATGGCATCTGTGTTTATTAAAACCGCCGTGATTCCCCACAATCTGCAGTCAAACTCAAACTCTGAGCACAGACATCCCGTACCGTACCAGCTAATCTCGGTTATCAACTTGGATTTGGCCATTTGTCTAATTAGCTGTGCACTCAATGTCATTTTGAACGAGAAGCTTAGGGGTAAGTCATCGAATGTTGGATATTTGGCTTACTCCAATTATCAAAATGAAATGTTTTATGAACTGTGAAATGAAGAGGCCACACATTCGCTCGCCGTCGTCACCGTCTGTGAACAAGATCAAAGAACCGCCCAATGATATATTCACGGCTCACTTCGTCGTGGTTCACTGGTTATTATGTCCGTTGCGTCAATGAATGCGTCTCTGTTGCGTTTTAGATTGCATGTGAAATAAATGAATGTAATCCAACTAATGTTAGGCAATGCTTACTGTGTTCCTGTTTATGACCCAGACAAAAAAAACAAGCAGTTATCCATACGCAGGGGAAAAGACGAAAAGCACTGTACTGAATTAACAAAATGAAAACAGGAAAGCAAAAAACAAGCAGGACGGGCGTTTACGTGCTAAGACGTTTTTATGTACTGCAAGAGCCGTCAGATTCAGGTTGGATAAAATCCTGTGTGTTTACAGATCTTTCCTCATTACTTTACAATCCCCCCATTGCGTGTGTGTGTTTTGCTTTGTTTTTTTACACTGTGTGCATAAATATTTAGCAGGTGAGTAGTTCACCTCTTCATTATGTCTGAGGAAATTTTACAAGCTACACTGAATCTGATTCTCGTGGGATCGTTGTTCGGGTGGCGTGTGTTTGTGCAACGAGCAAGGTGCGACGTAGAATAATCAACACCTAAGAACCTTCCAGCAAGGAGAAATGGACCAAAATTTGGGATTCAATAAGCACAGAAAACTAAAAAAAAGTATTTTTAGAAAGTTGAAGCATTCTTAACATGACTAAGCTCTTAAGCCGTGATTATCAAAAAAAAAAAAAAAAAAAAAAAAGCACAAAAACCAAAGGTTCGGTTGTAAATCCTCAACAAGGCCATACAAATATGTTTGGAGAAGAAAAAGAACAAAGAAGAAATCGACATAAAACTACAATGAACAACCTTACGCTAAAAAGTTGTTCAGAAATGCAATGAACTTGTAATGTGTAGAAGTTGGAAAGGCTGGATGGACCAGACGGATGGACTCATGTTTGGACAAAGACCACTAAGACTAAGACTGCATCAAGTTTGACGATTAACTAGTTGGACCTTTTTAGGTTAGAACTCAAGTCTTCAATGGGGATGCCGTTTTATACAGAAGTCTGCAGCATGTTTTTTTCTCTCTTTTTTTTTAAAGCAATACCGATTCCATGACCGACCAGCCAGCTGGGTAAGAGCCTCAAAAACAACAGATCTATCTATGGAGTTTGTGAACTTCTTCAGAAGCATATGATTTAAAAAAAAAGGAGAAAAGTTCACCTCTTAGAGCAGGACAGCTGAACAAAAATACGACTCCATGGAAGAAATCCAGTTAGTGGAGAAAAGAGAGAGAGGCTACATTGGGTACTTAACATTTTTTAGATGTCTAAAGTGTTCATTAGTTAACCCTGAGGAGTTCATTTGTTCGATTTTCTCTAATTAAATTAGCAAGAAGGAATTTCTTTAGTCTTGCATTTATTTGAGAGAAATGACGCATCCTGAAAGTTTCCAAAGAATTGTGCACTCACATATCCTCCCTCCGAGAATGTTAATGGTCACATCTCCTTTGCTAAACATTTAATCTTTGAGTGTATTAACGCCTTAGCACTGAAATAAAACTTCCCTAATGGTTGTGCACAAAGCGTATTTGCTACACTGCAGATATAACGCTTTGCTGAAATATTCATACCCATCGAGCGTCATGGTTTGTCACATTACAAACACAAATTTAAAATTATTTTATAGTGATTTTACGTTACAGACCAACACAAAGCAGTGCAAATTTGTGACCTGGATGGAAGACCACAGTTTTCAAATGTTTCTACACATAAAAATCTGTGGGATGTTTCAGACCCAAAGCAGAACCTCCTCAGTTTACAGCTGCAAGACTTTTGGGGGAAAACTTCTTCCATTATTGTGAATTTAAAACTGAAATGTTTGCCCATTCTTCCTGCATGCAGACTTGAAAAAGGTTCTCAGTTGGATTTTGGTCAGGAGTTAATAAATGAATTCGCTTTGATGCCAAACCATCCCTGTGCATCCCTGAGTGTCTGCTTCCTTCTCTTTGGTGATAAAACGCATCCCCGCATCATGATGCTGCCACCGCTATACGTTGCAGAGGCGGATGCTGTTTTCAGGATGAAGTTTCTATCGTGAGGGTGGCGTGCACGTCGATCAAACCGTTACACGTTGGTCTTTCCTTACAGAAGCTGCTCTGAGGTTTTACGTTCGCTTGTGGTGGTTTTTGGCTTTTCCAAAATAGAGTTAATGCACTGCAGCGGAGATGGGAACACATTTGCAGAATAATTTATAACGTCACACATTTTCCGATTCACTGATAGGTTCTGTCAAAGTCCAAACGTCTAAAACAGAGGGGCGGACTCTCCATTGGTCTGAGATGTTTGGTTCATCTCACGGGTATCGTTTGATAGAGCCATACTAACCATCAGCATTTGGTCAAACTATGCTTTTCATTCACTTGTTGAGTCCTTGGAACGTGGCAAATTCTCATTTTATTTGTTTTTTTTCCTTTTTGGCTACATTTTAAAAGTTTGCTCAAAAATCGCAAGCCAATTGGATGGAATTATAGCTACCGTGTTCCCTGAATCTGCTTAACTCTCACCAGAGTTTTCTGCATCACCCAAGTGTTTTTGGTCTAGTTTCTAAGGAAAATATCCTGGTACACTTGAAATAAGACAAAAACTGACTTACTAGTAACTTTTCAGCAAGATAAAAGAGCATGTTTTAAGTCAATAATTCTTTAATATTGATGAAAAAGTTCTAGATCCACTGCCAGATAATTTCACTTACAAAAGAAAATATTTTTCCCATGTTAAAAGTGAAATAACCTGGAAATGGAACAAGAACTTTTTTTTTCATCAATATTAAAGAAGTATTGACTTACAACATCCCCTTTTACCTTGCTGCCAAGTTACTTTTAGTTTTACTTCAAGTGTATATCTAGAAACTAGACCAAAAGCACTTGATATGATTTTGTGGTTTTGCAGCGTATTGTTCTCAGTCCAACCTCTGAGGTTTTTGCAGTACATCTAAATTTAAGCTTCGATTAAATGAGACGCAGGTGGACTCTACAGACTGATCAGGTAAATACTGGAGGCAGTCGGTTGCACTGGATTTTATTTAAGGGATGCTGAGCAAAACACAATATATGTTCTCAGATTTTAATTTCAAAATTTATTTGTGTTGTCTTTCCAGTTTATTAATATGTTTAAAATAAGTTAAAAATTTTGTGTGCTGAACAGATGTTGAACAATAATCCAAACTCTAAATAATAATAATAATAATAATAATAATCCTTCTACAATACGATAATGCACTACTTTGTACTGGTCACATTTGTTGTTTAATGTTAGAAATGTTACTAACTCAAAGGGGTTGAATATTGTTTCCAAATCCCTGTACATGTGAAACAAGTTTTAATTTTAAAGCTTCTCTTCTGTGCGATGAGTCGTGATGAGGACACAAGAAAACCAGAGGGAGCTTCATGCGGTTAAAATCAGGAAGTGAGTGCGCACACGTAACACACAGGAGGCGGCGTAAATTCAAAACAGAGCTCTCGGCAGCACAGCTGAGCCGGCGGTCGATAATGACTTCGATGGGTTTAATTCATCTTCTGCGCAAGAGATAAAATATACCAAAAGGTCTTTGTTTGCATGCAACCCTCTGAAGACCGCTTCAGTTCGGCGGCAGAGGAAAATTACGCACATGTAATATTTAAAACAATTACCCAAGCAGTTGATAGATCCAGAGTTATAGTCTGGGCTAATAAAACAGGTTTGTTTATCTGTAGGTTCTCAGGGGGGGAATGCAGCCCCTTTTATGAAGCAGTGAAGAGAAACAAACCGCGGTTCAATGCAGTCGAAATTTGGTTTACATAACGAGAATCACCCAGGCTGTGTTTATGACTCTTCCATCTAAGATCCCTGTGAAAACACCATCCTGATCCCTCCTGCTGTGCACCAGCCATGAAAGCCCGGTCGGCCTATGATGAGCCGCAACACTCGGCAAGTTCTTTCTTTCTTTAAAAACAGCATGATTGTAAAAGAAAAAAAAGATGGAAACAAAGGGGGAACACCAGTCTAACTTCTGTGTACAAGTTCCTCTCACTGAGGTGGCATCACATAAATGAAGCATGACAACATGAGAAGACTCACTGCTGAAACGGGATGAAGTGCTGCTTGTCCTCATCGTCTATCTTGCCGTGGGCGACGTCTGTTATGTCCATCACTGCAAAGATAAACACGTCGGAAGGATCACAGCGGGGTTTGGACACTTTTCAAGTAGAAACGCACACACAAAAACAAAAAACAAAACAATAGAAAACTGTATTTTCTTGCTTTTATTAGCTCGGCAGCTTCATTTCTCTCCCCCCGCCCCCAAAACAAAACAAAAAATCTAGGAACACTTTTCTGGATTTTTACAAGAGGAACTTTCCCAGCTTACAGTGCCAGCTGCATTTATTGGCATCCATCGTACAGATGTGTAGAAAGCCTTAAAAATAACTTGTCTTTTATTGCACTGGTGGAATCTCACAATGAAAATAGTTAGAAGTAGTCCACTTTTATTTTACCACAATTAATTTTTTTTTATCCTGTGTTAATAAAAAATAGTAATTTTTAACAAAATCACCAATGATACAACATCCAGCTAACAATTCATTTGAACTAAATGCATAACTAACAACTAATGCATGACTTTTATAAGATCATTTCCCTGGAATATAAATATAATTTGCTTTAGCAACTAAAAATGGGGAAAACAAACATGCCATTCAAGTAAAGATCTTTATATGTAAGGAAATGTAAAAAAAAGAAGAAAAAAAAAGTTCACCCCAAGTTTCCAGAGTTATTAAGTTAAAATATTGTATAATGCTTACTTTGATTAAGCTAGTAATTTTGCTTTAGGTTGCTAAGTTAAACAAATTTAAAGAGGATTTTAGGTGCATCAAAGCCACATTTTTCAGTAGAAACCAGTGAATTGATGTGGTCCTATTTAATATTAAAGCTTGGTTATAAAATAGATTAATATATTGTGTTGGACTTAGTATTTTTCATTATAAAAGGGATTTTAATTAGTCATTAATAATTTTGCTCTAATGAAAAATAAAAAAAGTTTCCATGCACATGAATCACCTAGATTGAGGGGTAAGATTACATCGTTCTTGGATTAAAGTCAATAAATATATATATATTTTTTTTTTAATCACTCTGGGGCCCACAAACAGCCACCAGGTTAAACTTTGTTCACCTCTGATTTAGAGAAGTGATTTAAAGATTAATGGTTGAAGATGCCCCTCTCTAAATGCTCCGATTTTGTGAAATGCTGCATAAGAAGACCAAGTTCTTCCCCTTTAGCAAAAACAAAGGCTGGAGAATCTGCCAACAGCAGGGGGTACTCTGCTGCATCACTGGCAACTTTGCCAAGAACCTGAAACAAAATTAAAGATGAGACTTTTCAGTATGAGATTTTGCTGCTGCAGGACAAAAAAGAGGTGAACGTCGCAGAGTTACTTGGCACATGTAGCTAAACAGATTGAGGAGTTCTCGATCTCCTGAGCTGATAAATTCCTCCCGGTTCTGCTGCCAGTGTGGCTGCGTTTTTATTTTTTTGTTGTTGTTTCTTTCCTTTTTCCTGGCTTTGATTAACACTCAGATTTTTATTCCATTTGCTTAAGAGCTGGAGGAAACCATTTCTCATTTAACTCACTAACCATCTGGCTGGAGCCTAAAAGCCAGTTTCCACCAACTCTCTCGCCAGGGCAGAGCAAAAGCCTTTTCTGGGTCAGGAAACAGGTGTTCCTCTTTCTCTTTCTTTCTTTTTGTTTTTGCTCCATCTTTCATTCCTGCATCTTAAAAGAACCAAACTCTGCAGCTGCGTGACAACAACAAAAAAAAAGGGGCTTTTATTACCGGTGATTATGAAGAAATATTAGCTGCTCACCGGCGACGCCGAACGGCCTCCGTAAGCCACCTGTTTGCTTTTTGCCCTCTTTGAGCTCCATGCTGCCCACTCTGATGATCTGACACACCAGGAAGAGCCGCTGCCTCATCAGATCGCTGCTGCTCAGGTCCTGGACGCAAGGAAGGCAAACAGAGCTGATTGGCGGTGACATACGAGGTACATTAGATACAAAGGCAGTGACCTTCTCCTGTCATCGACAGTTTATTATGAACGATGACATGGTCAGAGATGCAGACATGACAGTAAAGGTTACAGGACAAAAGCACGGCGTAAATGCTGGGAGAAGGTATGTCTGTGTTCTAGTGTCTCAGCCTTTGTTTATATATGGATGCATCTCAATTGGAAAATAATAGAAATCTATACTTTAGTAATTTGGTTCAAAAAGTAAAACATTCAGTATATCCAGAAAGTATTCACAGCGCTTCACTTTTTCCACATTTTACGTTATATCCTTGTTCCAAATTGCATTACATTAACCTCTTTGACAATATGGAAAATATTTCTTGAATATATGTGATTTCTTGGGTTTTTTTTATTGCTGTTAAATGTGTAAAAACACACCATTTAAAAAAATGTTTTCAACATTAGACCACTTGTACAGAACAATTATCCGGGTCAGGTTTGGCGGACGCCAACTTTAGCATCATTAGCGGCTAACAGTTAGCTAGTTGTGATGGCCAGCTAATCCAGAAATGGTGTTTATTTCACCGACTGTCACATAAGCTAACAAATCCAGAACCATTTCCTTTCTTACTATAAATGAAGACCTGAGGGAAGACATTAATTTAATTCAGTTTGGCAAAAGGCTGCAATACCACAAAATGTGGAAAAAGTGAAGCGCAGTGAATATTTTCTGGATGCAGTGCAGGTAGCTCTGATTTATTACATACAGGATGACACATCTTAAGCATTCGTTTCTAATTTAGACATTTACAGCTCACAGTTAATTGAAATTTGAAATTCTGTCACAGAGAAAGGAGACTAGAGTCCTCAATTTTGTCTGCTTGGTGCTGAAATCTCCATATTTTGTCCGCTTGATGCTGAAATCTCCATGTGTTGGCAGAAAGTGACACAGGCCAATAGAAGGCGCCATGTTGGAAAATAAACTTTGTCCATTCGACAGACATTCTCCACAAGAAAGGCAAATCGCTGATGAGCAATGATAAAAAGCTGGCTGCTCACAAAGTATTGAATCTAACAGAAAGTTGAATGGAAGAAAAAAAATATGGCTGAAAATAATGGTACACATGCAAGTCTTGAGAAGATCATCCACACAATTGTTGGGGAGAAATTAACTATCTGGACTGAATCGTGAATTAGGGCTTCAACAGGAATTATACACACACAGACGTATCAGGATGTGAGCTACAACCGCTGCTCATCTTGTGTTCATAAAAAAAGATGGTTAGAAGCGTCTCAACTGGACAGAGGAGAAAAACGACAACTTTTTCTCTGCGCTTCAAAGCCCTCTTTTTAGATGAAGCAGCATTTCATTTGTAAATCACGGTCCCAGCGTCTGGAGGAAGGGTGGAGATTAATCTAAGCTGCTTGATGTCCAACGTGACGTTTTCTACAAACGGTGATGCTTTGAGAAGCCGGGTCATCTGTGGATGTTGGCCCACTGGGCTTTATGGAGTCTAACATCTCAGCAGTCGTGCACAAAGACATTTGACAGCACTTCTTTATGCCCCCCCCCGTAAGGAGGTGCTGGTTTCATTTTAGAGCGGGAACTAAAACGACTGCCACACTAAATTTGTTTCATTGTCAAGAGGAAGAGGACAGCAATAAACCTCAGCAGAAGGTTGATCACCTCCATGCCACGCCGCATTGATGCTTAATTCATGCAAAAGGAACTCCAGCAAAGTATTGAGTGTAAATCCTGTGGAGTAATTATTTCAGAAACTTAATTTTGCAGGTTTTGTTAGCTGTATGTTGAAGTAAATACTGAAAACATTCCACTTTGTGTCTGGAGAGTCTGTAAGTGTCTCGCTTTTTAATTCGAAGGACACAAATAATTAACTGTCATGTGCCTTTGATGGAAAGGGTTTGATTCTGCTCCAAAACTCCACTTCCTGGTAGCTTCGCTGCTCGTTTTCCCAGAACTGCCGGCTCTCTGAATACAACAAAATGGCAGCAGCACCACTCATTGACCAAGTCACCCGTGAAAGAGAATAATTTACAAAAACTGTCATTAAATTTCGAGCGATCCAGAAACAAATAGTCTTCAGGTGAGGTTCAGACTGTTTACATCTTTAAAACCAAGGGAACACAGTCAGCAGATTGAGACTCGGTTACCGTGAATAAGGCCGGCAGGTTGTTGAGTTTTTCAATTTCCTTAGGCATCCCCATACTGTCCCAGCGCACCAGGAAGTTCTCGCTGTATGAATTCAAATAGGAATCACAGTTAGCGCATTATCTGAGCCATCAGAAGAAGTGGAAAAATGGAAGCAGGCCATGCAGCAATTCTTCATAATTTCCTTCCCGTCACCTGATAAACAGAAAACATGCATCACATAAATCTTAAAACTACTCGTGCTGTTTGATTAGTAACCATGTCATCTTGTAGGTCCCAACAGAGCTTTCCGAAAATCTTGACTCTTAAAAATGAATGAGTCGAGCTTATTGTCTTAATTGGCGCCTAATGCTCCCTCAGTCAAGCCGTGTTCATACTCTTGCTTTTATTTTTAGTTTTGCGATATTAAAATTCATAAAAATCCATGCTGTTTATAATCAGTGCTGTCACTTCCCAAGAGCAGGCACGGCAGCGGCTTAGCTGCAAAACAAACCTGCCCTCCATTTTTTTTTTTTTTTTTTTTTTTTTTTTTTTTTTTTAAACCAAAATTTTCTTTTTTTGGTTTTTTGTTTTTTTTTTTTTAATGGGAGGGCGTCACATA